TCATTCAAATGGTATAATTTTCATTCAACTGCAATAGTTTTTATTCAATTGGTATAAAATGTCATTTGAATGCAATATTTTTTATTCAATTGGTATAGTAGTTTTTTTATTTATATGCAATAATTGCATTATGGGAAATTCTTTGACGTCATAAGGTCAAATTTGCAACAACGTTTGTGATTGGTCGGAAATTGTTTTGATTTCTCCCCTTTCTTTCTAAACATGGGTGACCAAGAATTAAATAAACGCGTCAGAATATCGCCCCTCTAACTAAAACTAACATTCGTGCGAGTCCTGCACTGGCTGTTAAAATCTTGTGGTCATAACTAGTATTTCTATTGCAAAATTTCGATGGTCAAAACATCTGAATAAAAAATATTGCATTTAAATGAAAAAATATACCATTCAAATAAAAAAATATTGCATTTAAATGAAGAAATATACCAATTAAATAAGAAATATTGCATTTAAATGAAAAATATCAAATTTTTGCAACCAATACCATGCCATAATAAACACCGTATTTGTGTTTGGTTATTTTTTTCTTCATTTTTGCCAAATCAGGGGAGATAACTCAGATAAAGTAATTTTTATAATAGAAAGTGTTGTCAATTTACCTATTTTAATATGTAGCAAGAAAACAAGTTCGGTGACCCCATTTTTTTCTTTTTCTTATCTGAAAGTATGTTATAAGAGCTATCTTCTCACATTATATCTTAAAATTCTATCATGTAGTTTTCTTTTTATCACACAAAATTTGATTTTCAATGCATATAATCTATACAAAATCTGACAACTTTGCACAACCTGTAGCGTAAAAAAAAGTCCAGTGACCCATACTTTTATCATATTTTTGAAAAAAGCATGATGAAAACTTCATTTTGACAAATTATTAAAAAATTCAATCAATTTTAATTAAGACGCCCCAGTCACCTTAAGAGTGTGACTTATGCTAATTGGACGTTGTGTGCACCCGTTATTTATTAATAATATGTAATAACGTTCAAAACAGGGCTTGTAAAATATTCCATAACATTTTGTTCGCTTTGGAGATTCCGTATATCGTCAAGTTATCGGAATTCAATTGGGGACTAACTGTGCACCACTTATTGTTTTTGTATTGTTATGAGTTACAATTTATGACTAAAATCAGCAAAGACCCATCGAAACAACATCTGATACAAAAATTTAACAATACTTTTAGATATTTGGATGATATATTGGCTCTCAATAATGACGACTTCAGTATGTATACTAAAGAAATTTATCCTGTTGAACTTACTTTAAATAAAGCTAATACTAACAATGACCACTGTCCTTTCCTCGATCTTGATATCTATATCATTAACGGGAAGCTTAATACAAAAATTTATGATAAAAGAGATGATTTTTCATTTCCTATCGTTAATTATCCATTTTTAGATGGTGACGTTCCCTTGTCACCATCTTATGGTGTTTATATATCTCAACTTGTACGATTCGCTCGTGTATGTTACAACGTATTAGATTTTAGCGAGAGAAATTTATGTATTACTGAAAAATTATTACACCAGGGTTTTCGAAATCATGTAAACTATGTAAAAGTTTCAAAGTTAATGAACCATGATGAAGGGTGGGGCTATATAATCTCCATGGAAACGATACTTGCAAATGCCAATAAATTTGCATACCAAATATCATTGACTTAACATTAGCAGTTCATCTTAAACGGATCTAATCACAAACTAATACATGTAAACTAAGCAAAAGTTTCAAAGTCTATAGACCATGACTGAAGGATCGGGGCCAAATATTCTCCATGGAAATGAGATGTGCCATTGCTTATAAAACTGAATACCAATTAACATTGGCCAACCACAAATAGTTCCCCTTGAACTGACCTAATCACAAACTAATACATGAAAGCTAAACAAAATTTTCAAATTTAATAGACCATGACTAAGGGGGCGGAGCCAAATAATCTCCATGGAAATGAGATATGCCAATGCTTATACAACTGCATACCAAATATCACTGACCTCCCACTAGTGGTTCCCCATAAACTGACCTAATCACAAACTAATACATGCAAACTTAACAAGTTTCAAAGTCAATAGACCATGACTGAAGAGTCAGGGCCAAATAATCTTCATGGAAAGAGAAAGGCCAATGCTTATACAACTGCATACCAAATATCACTGACCTACCATTTGTGGTTCACCATAAACTAGACCTAATCACAAACTAATACATTGTTGACGCCGCCACCGCCGACGACGACGCCGGATACAGCATAACTATGCCTCACTTTTTGACACCGTCAAGGCGAGACAAAAATCAATATAAATCTTTTGGCAGGTAAATGTAAGCCTGTAAGACCTACATGTTATATGGGGTTGCTTTCTGTTTCATTTGTCAAACTTCTATTACTTTTTGGAAGAATCTAAATTTATGTCCTTCAACATTTCCTTTATTTGTCTGTCAAAAAGGAAGTCACAGTACACCAAAACAAAATGGCACATTTCATAGAGTACACCTGCTTCATATTGTATGGATGGCATGATGCTTATGACTGTAAATTTGGATAAATTTTAACAATCATGTTTTTACAGTCACAATATATGGTATCATAATTCCAGTGGTTTAATTCTTTTAAATGTTAAAAGGTATAATACATTTGTAATATACAGTATAAGTGTATACAGCTGAAGGTAACAAATATCAATTAAGGTAAATTAATTTGAGCATGCCCACTCACAATCATATGTAACCCCACCATATTCTATATGTGCCTACTCTATAAGTCTGGAGCCTATAATTCAGTGATTGTCATGGAGCTAAATTGACTAGGCTATTCCCCGACGATTAATTTTTATTCAGATTTTATTAGAATGTTAATAATAATTGGCGGGTCCAGCAGATTATTTTTGGTTTGGATGTTATTATAATAATCGGCGGGTCCCGCAGATTGTCCCGAAGATTGTCCCGCAGATTATTTTTTGGTTTAGATTTTATAAAAATAATCGGCGGGTCGTGATTTTTAAAAGCCGAAGATTTTATTATTGGAAATAATCGGCGGGCTCTTGATTAAAAGCCGAAGATTTTATAATTGAGAATAATCGGCGGGGTCGTGAATTTCATTAGCCGAAGATTCTATTATTGAAAATAATCGGCGGAATCTTTATTTTTAAAAGCCGAAGATTTTATAATTGATAACAATCGGCGGGGTCGTGTTTCTAAAAGCCGAAGATTTATTTGTATCCATGTATTTCTAAAGGAAAAATAATAATAATCGGGGGGTTCACTGTGGCTTTCCATAGCTATGGTCACGGATAATTTTTGTTTACAAAGTCAGATTTTAATCAATTTGTATTTTTAATACAGAATGCTGAATTACAATACGAGTTATCTACCTTGGTGCATAATATGATAAGAAGGTCGCGCACTGAAAAGCAATCTACACTCTTGATTGTATATTTCCGTAAAAGTCAAAGTTGCATTTAATTTATTCATTTTTCTAATTCTTTTTATTCATGTTTTATTTATTTACTATTTTACTGAGAGGCTTTAAAAAAAAAAAAAAAAACAAAAACCAAGATTATTTCAATTTATTCTTGGCAATCTGTTTATATAACCATATTCTTTTTATCACATGTCATTTATTTTTTACGTCATTCTTAATTGTGTCATTACTATTTTAAGTTATGGTTTATTTAATTAATGAAAAAATTGTGAAAATTTCGGATAATTTTAAACATTTTTGACATTTTACTTCGTTTTACAATTTGTATTTGTTAAATAGTTATATATTTGTATATATGGTGTCTCATAATCCTGTCTAGGCTGGGTATTTGTCTTATTTTATTGTTTTGCAATGTATTTTATATAATCTTTATAAAAATCTGTAGACAAGTATGTGACACTTTATTAAAATAAATTATTATTATTATTATTATTATTATTATTATTATTATTATTATTATTATTATTATTATATTATTTCTAGACACCTCGTAGACTTTGCCATTGCCCAAAGACATATTTATTTTTTTTTGTCGTAAAGGAACAGAGCGCTCGAATATTTATTTTCATTTTCGTACATAACTATTTCCTTAATTGTCCTGTACTATGTAGGTTTATTCATTTACATCCTGTCTTGGGCAGGGTTATTGCCCCCCCCCCCCCCCCCCAGTTCTTGTCAGAGCATTTATTTCCGAAATGGACCCCCACCCCCAAATCCCTAGAATATTAAATGATCATTCCTTCACGGTGTAGCGAGTAACGAAATCAATTCATTTCATTCCACATAATTAATAAATCAGAACAATAAATAAAAATTCAATTAATTTTGAAGTCAAAATGGAACTCAAGTGCTCGTCGTTCTCTAGCACTGCCGTTTTCGAAACAATCTTTTTAACTATTACAACCAAACACAATTATTGTCCGTGTTTTTGTAATTATCAACAATATGTTTTTCTTGTAATATAAAACTACTCACTAGAAATTTTATTTCCTCATAACATGTCAATTGATTGAAACGACTCCCTACTAAAATTCCTTTCAATTTAAATGAATGAATTGATTGAAAATCAAACATATCCATTAAATTTCACGGGATGGTATTTCTAGAATAGTGATGTGACGAACTTAATACAATGATAAAGAAATTGAAGCATTTTATTATTGAAAATGACCATCACGATTAACATTCTAGCTTCTTCAATGAAATAAATTATTTTTATATGACACAAATACAATGCTCCAGATTAGAATCTGAGATATCTGTCATTACCTGATATCAGATGTCGCATCAAACGAATCTAAGAGGAAAAACAAATAAAAACTGTTTACCTCAATATTTGAATTGAATCATCAAATGAAGCAAGATAGTCATCTGTTTGTATTGAAGCATTCAATTTGTTAAATTGTTAAGTTAATTATTACAAATTAGTATAAATGAAAAGCTTGACTGGAAATCAAATTATTCAATATTGTTAATCAAGCTATGATTATAACTGTTATGTTCATCCTTGGGTGTAGACATGTTTTTGCAAAGGATAACAGTCACGGTAAGTTTTTTAATTTCTATAGTATTAAATTTGATTACAAAAAAACAATTTTAGTTTTAAAAAGGTTTATGCAACAATCAGGTCCATCAGTACATTGATGTACCTACAAACTTATTTCTTATTAAATCCGAAAAAAAATGAGAAGAATTTTTCACGAATTAGATGATTCTCAAAGAGGTAGGGTCGATTTCCCCTGTATTTATTTCACCCCCTAAACACAATCTAAAAAATGTTAAAATATACTCCCATTTTAATATAAAAGAGTCTATAAGTATATGTAAAACATTTTTTTTTTTCAATAATTTTACGTAAGTTGCTTAGAAATGAAATCTTTTCTTTTTTTAAGGAAAATTTTGCACCGAATAATATCTTTATCCAAAATAACTTCATGTGTATCTAAATGACAATTATGCATAGAATTACTTTCCAAAGAAATTGTTGTCGGTGAAGACTGTCCATCATATACATTTTGAATTTGAATAAAAATAATCAAAATTTAAAACATTCTTATAATCGTGTCCTAATAAACAAGAGAAGATTGATTGTTTGTTGTTTGCTTCCCGTCCATTGACAAATACTTCATGGATGTACAAATTATTAATAAATACAATAGGTTTAGATCCTACAATATAGGGGACGACCGGAATGATGGACGGGAAGTTGCGAATGCCACTGAGGAATTAGGGTACATTAGATAGGGACAGAAATCATGTCTTGCAACATGCCACCTACCGAAAGATACTGTTACAATTTCCTACATGAATCTGTTATACTGTGAATTTTCGTAAAGATTTTAAAAATAGTACTAGTGTGAAATAAATTCCAGGGAAAATAAGTGCTACGTCTTTGTTTTCCTGTTATAAAATTTGACTGTTTTATACAAAATAGTAAAAAAGAGACATTTGAAATACATGGAATTTCAAAAAAAGCGATATTAAATATTTTCTTTAGCCCCGGATATAGGAAGGTATACCATCAGATGTTAGAAGGAATGTTTACTGAGTAAAGTCTGCAGATAGGTGTCATCTAATTCTCAGTTGAGCATTTATGCTTGGAAATAACTACTGGTGAGAAATTAAAATTTAAGTAGATGGCAATAATAAAGATTACAAACTGATTCAACTAATGAGTTTGAATGTCCCTTTGGTATCTTTCTCCTCTCTTTTACTTTGTAATCAACAATGATCAATGCCGGACAATTTGATTTGGTCAGTGCTACATATTCCATAGAGTTTCTGATGGTTATAGAACAAGTTGTTCAATTACTGGTATCGATCTTTTCTCATTTAAGATTTAACAATGCAGTCTATCTTTAAGCTACACTATATTTTGTTTAATTCTTTTTATCATTGACCATATATATTAATCAAAAATACTCAAATTCCTTGTTTAAAGAAATCAATTGTTTGGTTAAGTCTGGTCAATTATTTTTTTACATTATTCACTAAAAAGATCCGATATTAAGATAAATGATTGCAGAATAAATAGATAAATGACGATATTGGGTGTAGCTTGAAGCAATTTCCCCCTATGAAAACCTTTAACTAATCCGAATTATACTACCGCTTAGTTCAAATACTTAATATAGGTATAATTAATGGATGTTCGAAATATATTCCAGCTGTTGCCGATACTCCTCGTGCAGATATGTCTTATCGTCAGTGGCAAAGTATTTTATGAGGTGAGTAAACAGTTTTTAGTGTCTGAGGGGGTTTTGCAAAAAAAACAATTTTCTTACACACTTAAAAAATCCACCATTTAAAGGAAAACATATATTATTATGATACAGAACATGCAATTTCATAGACACTATAAAAATAAGAAGATGTGGTATGATTGCCAATGAGACAACTCTTCACAAGAGACAGACTACTTGATGGGTATTATCATCGGAAACTAAGAATAAGATTTCGTGTCTTTGATTATTAATGGTTGAGCTTTGTTTTTCATTTCATTTGGTCATGGTCCTTTCTATCTCGTTCTGTGATAATGCTCTATGTGTCTATGTACTTTTTAGGATTAGTAATAAATAGACAAAATAAGAATTTTATTTAAATGGTTGAACAATTTACAATTTTACAATGTATCATTACATTATTTTGCAGGAATGTCGATCACACATGGGAAAAGAATTCGTCCTTATATTTACAGACAACAGCAGACACAGCAATTTACTCCGTCTTTACATTACGACACCTTTAAATGAAAGCTTTACTATACATGTAGAAACACCATTGCTGAGTCAAATAAATCAAGATTTTGTCGTAACAAATGGAACGAAGCTAGTTATTGAACTTCCAATAGACCTCGCAATTTCCAGAACAACAAAAAGTAACAAAACAATACTGGTCACAGCACAGAACTTCATTGTATTGTTTGCCTCAAACATGCAGCATAATGGCGGTGACTCCTATATAATTCATCCAATTGCAGTTTTAAGTACCGAGCACATATCTGTCAATTTAAAAACAAAGTCAGGTATCTATCATTCAGTGACTTCTGTGGTAGCTATAGCGGATCAAACTGAAGTGGATATTGCTTTACCCACTGGCTCTGTTGTAGAGTTTGATGGTATCATATATACTTCTGGAAGTACTTTATCTGTGAGTCTGAATAAATATGAAGTTTTTCAGTTTACTTCATCTGACGATTTATCGGGAACTATTCTGACATCAAATTACCCTGTTGCTGCATTTAGTGGCCATGAACTTGGAAATCCTGAAATAAGCAGTCAAACTTCAATAGATATGGTATATGAAATGCTTGTTCCTACAATCTATTGGTCTACGTATTATATTGCCATCAGCAACCCCGTGTTTGATTCAGGAGAAGGGGAACTTATCCGAGTCTTCACTTCCGGTGACAATACTAATATAATGATAAACACATCCGGAACTCTTGACCAAATAAGTATTAGTACAAAGGCGTCATACCATGAGTTCCACTTACCTTTATCCGAGGCAGCAGTTATAACCTCAGATAAACCAGTTTTAGTTTCTCAGATTACAGCCGCTAAACAAATTGCTGGAAGTTATACAGGTGATGCTAGATTAGTTCTACCTAGCCCAGTGAATGCATGGCTAAGTGAATACAGTTTCAATACACCCGGCGAAAATATGTATAATGGGCTTGTCCTTTTGACTGACAGTAATTCTTTGATCAATATCACTCTAAACGAAAAGAGTCTTAACTCGTCTATTCTATGGAAGAAAATCGAAGGTACAAATTTTATATATACATCTATACAACTTTCTGAAGGTGTACACACTTTGACTTGTATATCAGCTGCTTCAAAATGTTGGGGATATGTATACGGAATTCACAGCTTAGAAGAATATGGTACATCAATTGGCCGCAGTTTTAGTCAGGTAAACTTTTGATATAAATATAGTTATCTAATTTCAAGTTAATGGACTAAAATAGTCGTATTTGTAATTCCTAGTAACAAAAGGACAGTTTTCTTTATTTAAAACACTCAGAGGTATTTTCTACTCACATGCACTAAATAAAAGGCAAGGAGGTGGTCAGACTGCTGATATGTGTTTATTATTTATTCGCCGATGTTGATTGTTTTGTTTTATGATTTTATTTTATGTAGTTGATACTTATACTCGAATACTGTTGATGTATTTCTTTTGTAAATCGTACCACAAGTCCCTGTACTTTGTTGGTTGGTTTGTTTGTGTCAACTCATGGTTAAATTCAATTATTCACATTTCTTCTGTTTCCTGTAAGCAAAAATTGCAAATAGACGATATTCCTTGTGAATAATTGTGATTGAAGCCATTTATGTTTTATTCACATATTAAATAATCGCATTGACACTCGTATTTGTCATACATATAAACGATTTTTATGATCTGTTACAGTATCTAAATATGACACCATGTCATATTGCACATTTTACAAGTATACGTTAATTAAACTTGATGTATATATGTTTTATTTTAGAAAACGGCAGACAGTTCGAACTTCAATCGTAAGTGTTAACAATAACACAAAAATTAAATACGTATGTTTTTTACGTATATATTATTCTTATGAAATATCACTAAGCAATGGCAAGAAAGATCAAAATTACAGATGAGTTGTTTTAAACATAATTTTTTTTTTTTAAACACTAAAATGTGATGCCATACTTTGCACTTGGTCAAGTATATATCCTTCTATGATATAGGTGACCATCATCATGCCATACTTTGCACTTGGTCAAGTATATATCCTTCTGTGATATAGTTGACCATCATCATGCCATACTTTGCACTTGGTCAAGTATATATCCTTCTGTGATATAGTTGACCATCATCATAAACGTTAGACTAATTTACATCAATACACAATTCGCCAAGCAAAGTCTATGTATTAACTAATGAATTAATGACCGAATGACCTTTATGCTTGGATTTTCATGATTTGGTAAAATGAGAATCAAGTTAGATGGCGAGACCAATGATGAACTAAATGTATTGCAATTTTATCGTTTCAAACTGTTTAAAATAGAAAAAAAACAGTTGAAACATTTACCTTAATTAGCTATATAGATTTTGGTTGTTACATTCTTCTTGTTTGACATTGATTTCCAGATTTTACAAAGAGTAAGATTAATTATTTATTCCAATACCTGTGTGATTTGAGACGGACCTCTAACTTTTGTATCTTTATAACATGCGTCAAACTTAATATCTTAACAACAGTTTCTATAACTTGTATCATTTCTGAAACTTTCATTAAATCAAAATCGATTATAGATGCCAAAAAACTGCAATCCTAATCGATATAAGTAAATATGAAGAATTTGCAATTGGCGAATTGAATTGCAAGAATGCATTCGGGACACTGTGAATACACCCAATGAACAAATTAAATGCCATTAGTGATAACTGTGCAAGCTTAGTTTATCGACGACGTCACCTGTTCTCATAAATAAAGTATCTTATTTCTTATGATTCTTTTTTGGGTTAACTACCCGGTTGTAAGTAACATCCCAGGCCCAGCTAAGCTATTGACACCTGGGTATGTTAAAATGCTAACAACATTTTTTTTGGCCAAAAATAAAAGAAAATACAAAATTTACAAAAAAGGAAAATTTGCAAAGTCCAATTATTTTCCAAAATCAAAAGAAAAAAAAAAAGAAAAATTGCCAAAATTCCAACAACAAAAAATTCGCCAAGATTCCAAAAAATATATTTATATAAAAAAATATTAAGTAATATTTGACAGCGCACAGCAACATCGGTGTTGAAAAAATGTGAAGTTGAAGTTCTTAATAAGAATTTTTTCAAATATACTTCATGGTATAAAAATGAGTAAAGGAACGCTTCATACGAAATGAATTCGTTATCTTGGTATAATCAGTGGTGTACGAAATTTTACACAGGTGTAAAATTCCGTACACCCTGATTACATCAAGATAACTATTCAAATCATCTACATAGTTATACGTTATCTTTCACGCCATAAAAATGTTCTCTTACACGTTCCTGTTTCTGTTTAAAGTTTTACTATTTTACCCAAAACCCTCCTTTTTCACAAAGTAGAATATAAAGATTGGTCAATCCTCAGCTACTTAACAGAGCAAATCATTTTACACAGTATTTAAAATGTAAATTAGCAAAACATGCAATTCAAATGACTGGGGTCCGTGTACACCTTGAGATGACCCATTCTGAAAGAGGTTGCTTGTCGCACTAGCCATATCTGTAAGCGTCATTAGCGATTAGTTTTCGAAAATGTCTAATTAGACAACTATCCATCAGATATCACATGGAGTGGATATAAGCAATCATAAGTTTTAATTTGTCTTCAACAATGAGAAAACCACACATAAAATGTATAAAGGCCCCAACATGAAAAATATCACCGATGGATGCCATATTTAGAATAGGATCTGCTTACCCTTCCGGAGCACCTGAGATTAACCCCAGTTTTTGGTGGGGTTCGTGTTCCTCAGTCTTTAGTTTTCTATGTTGTGTTTTGTATATTGTTGTTTGTTTTTTATTCGTTTTTTTGGCAGGGCATTGTCAGTTTGTTTTCGATCAGCATACCCTTCCATAGCACATAAAATCAAGCCCGGTTTTTGGTGAGGTTCTCAGTCTTTAGTTTAATATGCTGTGTTTTGTATATTGGTGTTTTGATTAGTTTTTGCCATGGCATTGTCAGTCTGTATTCGACTTATGAGTTTGAATATTCGTTTGGTATCTTTTGCTTCTCTTGTACACGAACCACTCTTCTATTTGCCAATTTTTAACAAATGTTTTAAATCTGTTAGCGACAGATTATCTTCCGAAAATCACCTACTTCTAAAAGAGCACTTCGGTTTTTTTGAACACATGTAATGAGAATACAGTGTAGCACAACACATCTACCCTAAGATTTCAATACAAAAGCATGGACAAGTAAATTGGCTTTAAAGTTTTCCGAACTTTTGTTCTTTCAACAAAACTTTCATTTTTGCAAATCTGTTAGTTTTAGTATAAAAGCACTATGTTTTGACAGAGTAGGCTTACTTGTTCATTTATTTGTCCTTAATACTGATAAGTTGAATTGGGGTGTTATTGTTCTGATCACATTTTACCAACATATATATATTTAACTTTAACATGGTTTCTTTTTAGAAATAAAGAGTTCTGTATTGGAGTTTAAAGATAATGGACTGTTATTTGACACACCTATATTTAACACAGTATCAAGGTCACTCGTTGGGTGTATAAAATTGTGCAGAATATATTCTTGTTCTATTGTTTCATTCCGATCAGCTGATGGCTCATGCTTTTTGTACACAGATGAAGATAGATGCGGTTCAATAAAACTGTCTTCTGATTTCAAACTGTATTTTGTTCGGAAAAGCAATTTTTAAAAGACAAATTAAAGTAATTAAAACAATGCATTACTTGATGTGTTTACCTTGGTTTAGACATGTCTCTATGAAAAGTTTTATGCACAATATATTGTTTGAACAAGGCCCCAGATAGCTTCAACTGGTTTGAAAAAAGTTGTGTAATTTAAGAACTTATCCGGATTGGCATGAATAGCGATAAGGTGTTTTGTTTGCATTAATCATAGTACTATACAAAACTCATCTGTATTTGTAAAGAGTTAAAAGTCAAAGTACTGAAGTACTGAACATCGGATGACTGCAAGTTCTTGTGGATGGTCACAAGCACTTGTCTCAGAAAAAAAATCACATCTCCATACCTGAAAGTGAGGTTAATATACAGATTTTTTTTTCTTAGACAAGTTCGTGCGTGGATGATATATAAATGACAGGGAATTCAACCTCACCGTAATAAAAATGATATTGAAGTGATACAAATCAGTATACTCTGGTTTGTTGTTATATATTATATTAATATTTGTATATTACTGTTGCATGTATATATAATTTTTATCCATTTGTATATCATTCTATTCTACTATATAAATAATAGTGCAGTGCAAGTGCATGGTGGACACTCTTCTGTAATAATTCGATTTTTCTAATAGATTCGATTTGAGTAGGCATTCATATTTTCCCGCCAAACTTTCAATCTCCCATGCAGAGTTATCGGTCCATGAGAGAGAGCGAGGACCGATAACTCTGCATAGGAGATTGCAAATGTTCTTGAGATATTCTTCCGCATGCGTTAACACACATTTTCTGTACGTGTGCATAGATATTAAGGATTTTTTACTTATATATATATATATTTCTAACGACAAAACATTTTCATATTATTAATGTATGTTCTAAAAAAAATATTTTTAGGAGTATACATTGAAAAAATTAATTTATAACAAGCAATAAGGAATGTTATTTTGCACTCGATAATGTCCGCGTATTTATCATGTTTATAGATCGGTTACAATCCCAATACGAAAGATACGTAATGGAAATCTAGGCGACAGCAATACACCGGAATGCCCTCACGGTCATCCGATGTAAAAATGTTATTGAACAGGGATAAAGCATAACAACTATTAAATATTTAACAGAATGTGATGATTTTCTTTTAATCTGTTACCTACAATATTGCACATATAATATATAACAAGATAATCTTCCATATTCTCAGATTATTAATAGACATATACAATACATGCAAACAGAGACACAAACAGCAAATATATATCAATAAACAAGCATTATTAGGCAGAACTAAAGCTAAATAATGAGCCCTTCTATAATACATAAACCTTGTAAAGCTGAAAAAGAAAATATAAGCTTTCTGGACATAAATAAACAAAAGAATAAAACATGATTCCATCAAGACCTGTAGTAGCAACATTTTCATGACATGAGTCAACATTCCATTTGCTTATTTAGATTTTAAACAAGTTCAAGCTGGAGTGGTCTAAGTAATTCATTTTATCAAAATTAAAAAAGGTTCATCTTCTGTATCACTAGCCCGTCAATACTGAGTTTGAGAGTTAAACCACGCACGTGAAAGATGCTTGCGACTCCAATCTTACTTCACTAGGATTGCCAGTTTTCCTACCGATGGTCGGTGATTATCGCCGGGCACCCTGACAACCTCCATAAATAAAACCTGGCCGCCACGATATAGCCAACAGTACTGAAAGTGGCGTTAAACACCAACAATCAATCAATAGTATAAACTGGATGTATTCCTACAATTGATGGGTATCTCATTCATGAGTGTGACAATCGCATATCTAAAGGAATTCAAGCCATCATGGTAGTTGTGTTCTTACCTGAGGTACTTCCACATTACTTTCCCTCCTAAAAGAGTAAAAACCATATTTTAAACAGAATGGATATGTAAAAGCAAAGGCCTTTTTACAATTATAATTTTTGAAACTTTTCATGCTAAAGCTATGAGCCTACCTATTTTTAATAACTATTTGTTATCTCACATTAAAAAGACAGAAACTCATCAATATATGCCACCTAATAGCTCTCTTCCACAGAGTACCTTTAAAAGTATCACTGTGGGAGAAACTATACTGCACATTAGAAAAAATAATAATGAAATTGATTTGAACAAGCACCTAGTTAACCTTGAACTAAAACTAGTAGCCAGAGGATGTAATGAACGCATAACTAGAGATCTGATTTCAGACACCCGCAACAAAGTTAAACGTTGCAATACATTAACATAAAAGACCACCAAGAAAGATATACCTTTGACTCTTATAACTAAATATAACCCGGCAGTTAAAGGGCTGGGCAGAGCATTAAGAAAGATAATTTACATTCAAATGAGGTATGCAGACAAATATTTAAAAGAGTGCCTATATAAACGCAGAAGAAATCTTTAAAGAATATTTTGCCGAAACTCGGTATTGGTTCGGAGACTTTTGGAAAGAGACCCAAGGTAGGCCTCTTATAGAGTGAGCCAATCTAAAAATCCCGAAACACCGTTATTTTAAAAGAATTCATACCTTAGGCAATCAGAAATAAAGAAAGACGGTGTAAAGTCTTGAGTTTAGCTATGTATGTTGGTTGAGGGAACTCTTGTTTAAAGGTTGCACTTTGTAAATACAGCTGTTTCTCAAACCACGCCTCTTTTGGGGAGATATAGAATATTCATAGATAATTAATTTTGTTTACATACTGGTTCCCAGTTATAATCTCTAGGTTTCATCTCATAGAGACATAACTTGGGAATGTTACCAGTAAATATACATATATTAGGAAGTACACCACTAATTCATGGCCCCATTGCTTTTTGTGTTAAATTCCTCAATTTCAAGCAGACACAGCTCTTTTGTTTCAAGTTCAAATAAAATGACAATCATTGCATGTCAAAGCAACACTTTATGGTGTCTTGTACTGGAAAAATCAACATACCTTTAATGGCATATAAGAAAGAACTGGTTCCCGGAACTTCGGATGTACCGAAACAGGTACTTCAGATCTGACATACAGGCAAAAAGTACCCTCTTTATAAAATTTGGTGCAGTTTTTTTAATATTCAAAATTATAAGTCAAAAAGTGTTCTACAATGATCACCAGTCATTCAGCTTTCATTTGATACCAACAATACCTAAATATTCTACATATTTTGAAAGTAACACTCATGCGTAGGAACTATTTTGTGTTAAATATGTACTACTTTCTATTATGTGCTTTCTGGCCGGGCCGAATTAGTGGTGTTACACCTCCATATTATCCATATAGAAATCTGTGGTAATCCTACAGTCAAGGTAGGGATAGTTAAGAAACTTAGTGTTAGTTTAAACTCTTAGAGGTTCGGGGCATATAAACGTTGAAAATATGCCGCACAGCCCTATATTTTGACCTTAGAAAAAAATTGTAGTGCATATGAACTTTCCATTCTAGGATATGATTTTTTTCAAAACTTCATAGTAAAAGTGGTACAGTTTTAGCCGTAAAAGAAGTTCCTATGGGAAATTGCATTGTCAATATTTACAGAAATGCAACCTATAACATCTTTATTACGTTGGTGATAATCATATATAAATAAAAGTGCTCTTTCTTGATTAAAAATATTTGTATTGTTCTCCCCACAAAAATTACAGACTACAGGACAATTTAGTAAAAATTATTAAGGAAAAATAAAAAGTAACTTTTACAAGTTTAGATAAATTCTAGTAAATTCTTATCAACACATTTAATATTCGAGATGCTGTTTAAGATATGCTTGAGAAATGGCGAGCTCACACTCTCATTGGTCACTACCAGAAGTTTGACTTTATTTTCACATTTCATAATATTTCAATATGAATTAAAACTGATGCCCTCTTTTGAAGTTTTAGACCAAATGGCAAGTGCGTGGAAATTATCAGGGTTCGATTTCATTTGATTGTGATGAAAACAATGTAAACTCTCTGCTTCCAAAACTTCCACAACCATGTTCAGGTCATTGGTTGGATATGAACAAGAGTTGTCGTCAGCATAATTATATGGATCACTATAGTTTACAAAGTTAACCATATCATTTAAGAAATATTAAAATGTAATGCTCCGGGGAAAGATAATTCGGTATTTACTCCCTTATATATATTTTCCCATGCACTTAAATTAATTCCAACCCTCGCACATAGTTTTCTATAGCATAATCAACTATCAATGAGCGTTAAGGCAGACTCTGATAAGCCATGAGCTTTCAACACAAGAATCAAAAAATCATGTGGCAGGTAGTCAAAGGCTTTCTAGAGGTCTAAGAAAAAGAGTCAATATATGTACTACTATCAATTGCAAACGTCCAGTCTTCCGCGGGAAAAATATAAGCATGAGTAGCAAATGCAACAGATGAAAATAATTTTTTGAATTCAGAAAAAAAAGTCTTCTCCCCCATAGGTCCTCTTTATGAAAAACTTTCAAATACTGCTAATTGAGCATTATAGCATATTCTTAATTAAGTTCTCGTTTTTATTTAAAGGAATATAATTCTGAAAAAGGTCAAACGTCTTTAACTTTATGTTGCTTCAAAACAAAAAGATAATTGCAGGTTTCCAATTCAGTGCACACGATATGCATTTCTTGAATAATCTTCATCTGGCATGCTCTTGACTAAAAGCATAGAAGCCAAATACGAAACCAAAAAAGTAAAACGCTTAAAACTAAACTAAAAGTGTGGAAAGTCAAATGGGAAACCCAAACGTTGCGACAATCAAATACGAGACCAAAAGTGGGAAAGTCAAAACATAAAACATTAAAGAGCACTTTACCAAAAATGACCAACAGAATATTCGATATCGGCTAATTCACTTTACCTAGGGAAATGGGACCTTGAGTAATGAGTAAAATAATATTATTGAGAAAGGAAAATTTACAAAGGGAATGGATCGTGTAAATCATAAACCTAAGCACTGACTATATGACGCACTGTTCACGAGATAGAAATAATGACGTATGGGATCGAATTCAGTGCAGAGGACAAGAGGTAGTGAAACAACGTTCAATGTACTAGATCAAAAGTT